TTCACCTAAACTGTTAAAAAACCCAAAAAACTAAAAGAAAAAATATCATAAGCTTTTATTTAAAATTTTGTTTTAGAGATTCTTATACTTGCTATTACAGCATCTGATTTTAGCTGATAAAGCCTTAAATTCCATTCTACTTCATGCTTGAAATTCAAAGGGTTCTGAAAGGAATGCAGATTGATTTACTTCTAACTTGCTGTGTTAGCTGGAGTAAATTATTTAACAGATTTGTGCTTTTTCTGGAGGAGAAGTTACATTAGTCTGCCTCTTGAGTGTTTCTGGGACACTTAAGTGCAAAAACCATCCTGAAGTACATTATCCAAAGTAACTCATGGCAGAGTCTGTTTTTCTCTGCCTTCATGGCTGTAGATTGTGGAGTTTTAATTACTAATGTACTTTCCATGAGTCCCAGTGATGATAAGATGCACCCTCAGTTTAATAAGAATTTCAAGGTAACAGTAGGAAGTTTGTGTCAATTGTGGTATACAATTTTATTTCAGCAACATTAAAATGGAAACATATATACATCTTAAAATTGAGGAAATGTAGTGATGCCTAATTCCCAGAGTTGTTGTGAAGATTAAATGAGATTCTCTTTCTACACTGTTAAGTGTTACAATTCAAATATTATTACTCACCTCACCCACCACACAGCCCAGCCTTTAACAATATACTAGTGACTTGAAAAAACAAAAGAATATGTCATTCAATTTTGGGATCAAACTTTTTCATGAGAGTCATTTTTTTTAAGGGAAGATATATCATTCTTTTTTTTCTTTTTCTTTTCTTTTTTCTTTCTTTCTTTCTTTTTTTTTTTTTTTTTTTTAGGCAGGGGTCTCACTCTGTCACCCAGGCTGGAGTTCAGTGGTGCTATCTCAGCTCATTGCAACCTCTGCCCCCTGGGTTCAGGTGATTCTCGTGTCTCAGCCTCCCAAGTAGCTGGGATTACAGGCATGTGCCATCATGCCTGGTCAATTTTTCTATTTTTAGTAGACACAGGGTTTCACCGTATTGGCCAGGCTGGTAAATCTCCTGACCTTGTGATCCACCCACCTCTACCTCCCAAAGTGCTGGGATTACAGGCGTGAGCCACTGTGCCTGGCCCCAGAAGGAAATTTGAAGTTCAATGAATTTTATCCCCAAAGTTTATAACAGGGAAAAACAGACGTCCAGAGAAATAAAATGATTTATCCATATTCATATGGTTCATGGCACAGTTGAGACGGAAAGAGGACTTTTTATGGAGGACATTGACAATTGTTAGCAATTATGATTATATACAGGGAAGCATTGAAGCTAGCTTTGTAACTTCAGTTCAAATATCATTCAATTTTGGGGTCATTCAAACAAAGGAGTGGTAGGATGTTAATCCCCCAAATGCACAATGCCTTAGCAACAGTACAGTGCAAGGGTAAGCTGACTTATGTTGTGGAATTGAGGTGATGGGGATTGAGTGTGAAAGCTGTCAGAATCAAAATGGAGTCACTAATGAAAAAAAAAACCTCTGATAAATAGAGCCACGAAGGGAGAGTTTTTATGCATAAATGCCTCGTATCAAAAACGATCACAAAAGACTTCAAAACCTACAACCTTGCACAGAGGCATCACAATGTTACACCAAAAAACACTTCTGTCAGGACATCTGCCCAGCAACTGCCTGTCCAGCCTTAGACTGGCATCACCCCTGTTACTGATAATTTGTAGCCAAGGATACTTATTTCAAAACAATTATGCAATCTTCCTCATTTTTTTCTTTTTAAAAACCTCTGTCTTGTTACCTCCCTGAATACACACGGAGTTTACTATGGCAGGCATCTTTCCATTGCAGTACTTTTCCCCCCAAATAAACCTCTTTTCTTTCAGAGAGCCTCTCTCTTTGTTATTTAGGTGACAAGAGTGCATGAGAAATGCACAAGTGTAGAATTCTGATGTACTAGATCACCTCTTCCCCATGGAAAACAAAACCTCACTCAGCCTGAGTGAAGGAGTGCTCGAACGAAGTCCTTCTGTACAGGAAAGGAGTTAAACACCCCTCCAGGATGACACCCCTACCCCCAAGCAATTTGTTTTGGTCTGAAAATGACAAAGCAGACTGGACCTCAGGCGTGACTACTGGCCTGTGACAGACCTGTTCACAGTAGAACCGTAAGAGGTTATGACTTCCCTTGTGGGCACCAGGAGGCTGGGCTGAGCCCGCATGAATGATGGCACTTGCTAGGGTCACAGAGATGCATCTTTAAGTGCATTCAATTACAGACCTACCCATACAACTGCATCTCTGACATGGCACTGTAGATTCCATAGCACCTTTCTAGAAGGCTTAGCTGAGACTTGCAGGCAGGATCCAGCTCATTGTGGCTGGTTATCTACACAAGGCAGGTTAACAGGGTTGTTACCATTTCCCATCTGTGGCTACAGTTTAGATAATTGCCCCAAGCCCCCTAGCTGAGGGGAAGTAGAGTCAAATCTCTTAATGCTGTGAGATGCTCTATCTGGCCTTAGCTTGGCCTGCTTTTCAACTTTAACACAAACTGGAAGCAAGCTGCAAAGCCAAACTGAAGATTCGTAGGATTTTAAAACACAGCCTGGTGTGGTGGCACAGGCCTGTAGTCCCAGCTACTTGGGAAGCTGAGGTAGGAGGATCTTTTGTGCCCAGGAGTTGGAGGCTATAGTGAGCTATGATCGCGCCGCTGCACTCCAGCCTGGGCAAATGAGTGAGAGACCCCCCGACTGCCGCCCCCCACAACAAAAACAGAAAGTAGGATACGTCGTCTGTATTTACAACTAGCTCATTTAGTTCTCAGACATGAGTATTATGACAATATTCATTTGGCAGTTCAGGATCCGAGCGTAGGAAAGTCTTAAGCGAGCTGCTGAGTGAGCCCAGTGGTCCCGAGGCGTCCTGACTTCCAAGGCTCTGGACCTTCGTGCTGCTGTCAGGAGCGCGTTGCCACGCCCCTCCACAGGGGTCCCCCTGCAGGGGTTCCTGTCCCCTAGACGCTTGTCCTGAGCCCCAGCGCAGGCTGCAACTTCCCACTGCCTGACCCGGCCAGCCTGCCTCTCCTCACCCGGGGACCAGCAGAAGCCTGGGCCTTCGTCTAGCGCTGCGACTCCTCCGGTCTTTAGTCTTTGTTTGGAGCACGAGAGAACCTGGGAACGGGAGGAGGCGTGACTTCAATATTCATATCGTTGTTAAATAAACGATTTCCTAATCTGTATCTGTTACATGCCAGCGTGAAACTTCTGTAGACAGAGCCGGCTGCGCTGCCAGCCCTTCCTTCTGCTCTCCCCACCCACCTCTGCCTCCCCCACCCAGCCTTCCCTCGGCAGCAGCGGGGAAGAACAGCCCAGCAGACCAAACAGCCAGGGCCGCGGGTGGGAAGCTGTTCCCGCCGCTAGTGGCTGGCGTTGGAGAATGTGAAGATTTTTCCATTCATAAAAGGAACGTCCCCGCTTGCCGCCTTCCCGCCTGCGGCACACCGCCACATCCGCAGCGGGTAGGGCTGGGTCGGGGGACACTCGGTTCCCAGGAGCGTACCCGAGCGCGCTCTCGCCTTTCTCCAGGAAGCCCCATTTTGTGAGCCGCACCGAGTGTCCTCACTCATTCGGTGCACACGGTTGACCTGGAGCGCGGATGAGCACCCTTGGTTGAAACGAAGAGACAAAATGGCTTGTGGTTCAATTCATAAATAAAACCTCACCCTTGGACTTAAGGCTGCCCGACATTTTGTGACTTGCTTTTCTTTTTCTTTGTGATAGTTTTAAAAAGCGACTGTCAGGCCAGGTTGCCTATCCATTTCTAAACGATTGGCTTTTTAGGACCCTGTTTTCCCCCTTCTATGGCGGTGGGTTGGGGGTGGGGGTGGAACTGGAGTGGCCCAGGGAGACGATGACAGGGGTGTGGCGGGGCAGGGCATTGTACTAATTCAAGATGCAATCTCCATCCAAATAATGGATTGTCATTAAAGATGATCCTCTCTGCAAAACCCTTAAAATTGCCCCTTGATTCCCTAGCAGCAAGAGGCGAGCCCTTATTCGCTGAGCTGAAGCCTCCTCCCCCCTCTTCCCCATTACTCTGCTCTGGAAATTACAACTCCTCGGCGCGCCGCACGGGGAGGCGGCGGCAGCTGCGGGAGGGAGGCGGGGAAGGGATTCCCGAGCCAGCCTGGCGCTCGCCCTCCGCCCGCCGGCTGCAGCGTCGCGCGGCCAAGGTCAGAGGCGCCGCAGGAGCAGCAGCTGGGAACCAGGGAAGCGGGTCAATCCCGGCTGCAGGGAGGCAGCCCGAGGGCGCAGTCAGCCGACGCCCGCCGCCACCAAGCAGGAAGGCGAGCGGCTGTCTCCGGGCGGGTCGGGTCCCGCCAAGGTGGCCGCGGCCCCAGCGACCCGGCTGGTGGCTGCCCAGGGGTTGGCGAGCCGGCAGCTGCCGCCCCACCTTCGGCTCCGGGGCGCTGTCCGCCGCCTCGTGGTGCTGATCCCAGCCCCGCAGCTGAGCGGCCTTCGCACCTGCCTGCTCACCTACCGATCACCCCAATAAGGAGCCGGGCGGGGGCAAAAAGGGGGCCTCGGGGTGGCCGCCCACCGGAGCCAGGGGCTGCAGCAGCGAGCGCACAGCAGCCCGGCCGCTGGTCCTGGAGTGGAGAGGAGGCGCGCGCTGCGGCCGGCGGCGGCGCTGGTGCTGATTCATCACCTAGAGCTCCTCGCAGGCCACCGCGAGGGCAGCCGACCCACTCCAGACTCTGGCCGCAGGTTGAAGCCGCCGGTGCAGAAGCCTCGCAGGCAGGAGGTAAGGACCCCCTCCCTTCTCTCGCCCCCACCCCCGTCATCCTAGGGCGGTGGCTACAGGACAGAGAGAGGGGCGTGCCCCTCGGCTGTGAAGTGGGCATGCCCGTGTGATGCCCCCGCCTGCCGTCTCACCGGAGCTCGCCACTCTGATCCTCCGCCAGTCTCCCGAGCTCCGGCCATTCATCCCCAGCGCAGAGCAGCGCAGGCAGCAGGCGCCGCGATGGAGGAAGAGCTGAAGTGTCCCGTGTGTGGTTCTCTGTTTCGAGAGCCCATCATCCTGCCCTGTTCCCACAATGTCTGCCTCCCTTGTGCTCGCACCATCGCAGTGCAGACCCCGGACGGCGAACAGCACCTGCCCCAGCCGCTCCTGCTTTCCCGGAGCTCAGGGCTGCCCGCGGGCGCAGCTGCCGCTCCCTCTCTGGAGCACGACACGGCGGCGGGCCTGGCCTGCAGCGGTGCGGGCGGGAGTGCAGCTGGCGGCCTCGGCGGCGGTGCGGGAGGTGGCGGAGACCACGTGGACAAGCTGAGCTTGTACAGCGAGACAGACAGCGGCTACGGATCCTATACCCCGAGCCTCAAGTCCCCCAATGGGGTTCGTGTGCTGCCCATGGTGCCTGCACCACCCGGCTCCTCGGCCGCTGCGGCCCGTGGTGCCGCCTGCTCCTCGCTGTCTTCGTCTTCGAGCTCCATCACGTGCCCACAGTGCCACCGCAGCGCCTCCTTGGACCATCGTGGCCTGCGTGGCTTCCAGCGCAACCGGCTGCTCGAGGCCATAGTGCAGCGGTACCAGCAGGGCCGCGGGGGGGTGCCGGGGGCGTCCGCAGCCGTGGCGGTGGCCATCTGCCAGCTATGCGACCGCACCCCGCCAGAGCCAGCAGCCACGCTCTGCGAGCAGTGCGACGTCCTCTACTGCTCTGCCTGCCAGCTCAAGTGCCATCCATCCCGAGGACCCTTCGCCAAGCATCGCCTGGTGCAGCCGCCGCCGCCGCCGCCTGCGCCCACCGAGGCAGCCTCTGCACCCACCAGCGCTACCCAGGGCGCCCCCAGCGGAGGCGGGGGCTGCAAGAGCCCGGGAGGCACCGGGGCCGGGGCGTCTGGGGGCAGCACGGCCCGCAAGTTCCCCACGTGCCCGGAGCATGAAATGGAGAACTACAGCATGTACTGCGTGAGCTGCCGAACCCCTGTGTGCTATCTGTGCCTGGAGGAGGGCCGGCACACCAAGCACGAGGTGAAGCCGCTGGGGGCCATGTGGAAACAGCACAAGGTGAGCCCACCGGGCAGGACGCGGGAGTGCAGGTGCCAGGGAAGAGGGTACAAGGAGAAAGGCTCTTGGTCTCTCCCTTGTAGAGCTGGCAGAAAGTCAGTCAAAGGGTCAAGAAGAAATTACCTTACTCATTTGCCATTCATTCCATCAGATAGTCATTTGACAAACACCTAAGGAACTCCAGGTACTCTGGACTGGATGCTGGAGATGGGAGGGGTGTGGAAAGATGACTTGCTAAGTCCCCGCCCACCTCAGGTTTTAGGATTTATGTAGGCACAGGGCACCCCAAACTCAGAAACAGGACTCTTTTACTCCCAAAGTCTGACTAATAAGTTACTTTGATGGTCTCTTTTGAGTTAAGGCATGCAGGATCGTCTTTTCCCTTCTGCCAGTCTCATCCATTTATGGCTGGCAATGTGTCCTTGTATCTGATACTGCCAGAAAGAGAGAAGCCATTAAAACCTGGTCAGGTCCTCGATCAGACCCCAAGTCAAGACTGGAGTGGGTTTTTCTAACATTCACCTAAATTTCCCATCCAAAGGCCAAAGCTAAGCAACTGAACTCACTTCCCCAGAGGTCAATGAGGTAGGCCTGGCAGAGTTAGAATCCTGTGGGACGGACCCCTAACCGCCTCTGGAACTTCAGACACCAATCATTCCATGTGCTCTTACCAGTAAACCCTCACCGCAAAGAGGCAAAAGGTCTCCAAACAGCCCTGCCAGAAATATATATTTGGATTGAGAAGGAAAATAAAATAATTGGTCAAGGCTATCACATACCATCCAACTGGAAATAAACAGAAAGTAAGCACAGATGAGAGGGAAAGAAGAGACTAAGGGACTAACCATTCCTATATAGATTTACTCTTCATATATAGTTACTCTATAGTATTATCTGCTATAATGAGCATATGTTGTTACTATAATTTAACATTTTAGAATAAAAAATTAGAAAAAACAAATGTGAAACATTTTAGAAATCCACCTTTAAGAGGATTTGCATAATACACAGAAAAAAAGAGAAACATGTAGTCAAATCCCTAGTTCTAGAGCAGTAGTTCTCAACTGGGTCCAATTTTCACCCCTTACCCCACCCCTCCCCAACATTTGGCAATGTCTGGGGACATTTGTCACACCACAGGGTGCCACTGGAATCTAGTAGATAGAGGCCAGAGAAGCTGAAAAACATTCAACAGTGCACAGGAAAACTCCCCAAAACAATTATCCAGCCCCAAATGTCAATAGTGCTCTGGAGAGAAATCCTGCTCTATAGTTACACAGACTTGTATCCAAATCTTAGGACTTGCAATTTACTAGCCATATAAGTCTAGGCACAGTTTAAAATTCATAGGAAAAAATATTGAACTTAGACAATTGTGGTAAGGATTTAGTATAATACTGTGTATTTAGCCTCTAGCACAGCACCTTAAATATTATTAATAAATAACATCAAATGTTACTGCTTATTTGTATAGTCCTAATACTTAAAACCAGTGGACTTACAGAAAGCTACAGGGCATAGCAAAGAGTGCTCATCTGGCCTCATTTACTTGGTTAGCAGGCGAAAACGTGAGCTGGCAACTTTTGGTAGTGTTTATGCTGAGTCCTAAAATAGCTCTGAGCTGAATCAGAATGGTTGCCTTGAATTAGTTATCATTCATGTGACATTTTATTGCATATTGCTTCACAGTAATTGTAGCTATCTTGCTTATTTCATCTTTCAAGTGAATAAACATCATTTTACAAATAAATTATTTATTAAAAAGGCTATGACCAATTACCAAGACAAGAAGTACAGATTCCAAAGCTCACATCAAATGTCACAAACTGCTAAATCTTCACAGCTTAGAGAACCAAAACTGATTCTGAGTGTTGCCACTCAGATGTTCAGAATTAGTGAAGAGTGGAAACCAGAGAGTTGAGGTGAGAATTTGCAATTGTAAGAGAAATTAAGTGTCTTACATGGAAAACTGAGTTGGATAATGAACTATGGTTTCAAGAACTAATGTTCTACAAGAAAAATCATTGGTCATGCCTGGCTTGGTGTCAACAGCAGTTTCATAAAATTTCTATCCTCAGCCAACTGCAAAGTTATGAGAAAATGTGGGAAGCACATGTGATATCTGCCCCATACAGTGGGCAGTGTAAGCTGTGGGAATATGACTATGCAGGATCTCAGTTTTGTGACATCCTCCTAAATCCAGAAGGAACACTCCAAGATACTTCTGTGAACACCTGTTTTCGAGAACGAACAGAAGCACTGCTGGTCCTCTTCAGCAGGTGCCGTTGATTTCTACAGAAAGGGAAATTACTGAGTGCTTATTATGAGCATTTTACCTGAGGACTGACGATCAAAAGAAAAGATAAATGGGGGAGCCCTGGTCAAACACTGGTGGTCTTGCTTTGTGGCTGGGCATCTAGACCAGCATGTATGCTGTGAGGGTGGCTACTTTTGAAAGAAAAATTAGAACACTCCATTAAGACTCCCACTGTTGGTGATTTAAGTTCTCCAGCAAAACATAAAGTCTCTGGATTTTGTTGTTCTTGTTATCTAAAAATCTCAGAATCTTGACAAAGCGTCATTGTACCACCAGAACTAGAATTGGGACAGCAATATTTCTCTAACATTCCTGTGATTAAAGAAGCTGTCAGCAAAGCCTTGCTTTAATTTTTCATTGGTGTGAATGCAGCTTGCCTTCTGATTAGTGATTCTTAAGTAAAGAGACAAATATGTGACACTGAAATCTATTTTAAAACATGATTGATTACCACCTTTTAAAAGCAGTATAAAAACTTTAGGGCTTGACTAAACACATTTCTATACATGTTTCTTGGGAGAGGATTAACTGTTTCAAAGAGCTTCTGATGTGAAGATGGGATAGGGAAGGGTAACTGTAAGGAGAGCATTTGGGTTTTTTGCTTCTTGATTATGAGAATTTGTTTTTCCTGAAACTAGAGAAAAGGGTTACTGTGTGGCATAGTTCTTTCCCAGTGTGATGTGACACAGGATGTCAACATCTGTAACTCCTGCTTCAGGGAGAACTCTGACCTGCTGGGTGCAGATGGCCAACTCTGAATTAAAATGTGTAGGAGTTGATTCTTAAGTTGAGGTTATAGAATAACTCTTTTTTTACATATAGATAAGCTCTTCTTCTGGAGTTCTTTGAGAACCATGCCAAATAGAAGAGTCTTAAAAGAAAATCTCACCAATACTCCAGAAGTACTATTCCAACTGAGTCAGCACCTCACAAAAGCAAGGGAGAGGGTGTGACCTGGAAAACGCAGGAAAGGCAGGACTTTTGACACTCAAATGTCTTTTTTTTTTTTGTTAAGAGATGGGATCTTACTACATTGCCCAGGCTAGTCTCCAACTCCTGACCTTAAGTGATTTTCCTGCCTTGGCTTCCCAAAGTGCTAGAATTACAGGTGTGGGCCACTGCATCCAGCCAACTCCCATGTCCTAAGGCTCTGCCAAAGGGTAGGTGGCTTCTCGGCCTTCTGTCTTACCTTATTTTGTAAAAAGGGTATGTTAGGCTTTAAAGGCTCAGAGAAAATATTTCTTCTATTAAAAGGGATAACACATACATGACAAAGAACATGTAGTCATAGTTGTACTGTAAGCACAGGTAAAAATATTTTAATATTTGTAAATCTTTTTTAAAAATATTTTGAGACAAGGTCTCTCTTTGTTGCCCAGACTAGAGTGCAGTGCCGTGATCACAGCTCACTGTAGCCTCAACTTCCTGCACTCAAGCAATCCTCCCACCTCAGCCTCCCAAGTAGCTCAGACTACAGGCACACCCCACCACCATGCCTGGCTAATTTTAAAATTTTTTGTAGAACCAAGGTCTTGCTCTGTTGGCCAGGCCAGTCTCGATTGAACTCCTGGCCTCAAGCTATCCTCCCACCTTGGCCTCCCAAAGCACGAGGATCATGCCTGTGGGTGTGAGCAACTGACCTGACCAATGTACATCATTTCTGATGGCTGCCTGGCATTTCATCAGAAGCAGTTATATTTTATTTCATCAACACCTTAAGACTGAACTTTGGGTTGTTTTTGTCTTTTGCTGTTACAAACATTTTGATAGTTAAATCTATGCCTACACTCTTAATTATTTCCTCAGGTTACATTTCTAGATATGGAATTGCTGTATCAAAGGATACCTGACTTTACCACATCCAATCAATGTCTCCAAATTACCTTTCATAAAGATGACACCTACTTTCTTTTTCAATAACAAAATTATGTAAACAATTAAAAATTCATGTGAACAGGGACCACAGGGAGAAATGATAAGGTGGATTGTCTTCTTTCCAGTAGTTATTGTTTGCTATTTTCATTACATTATTGTTAGAACTATTTTTAAAAAGAAGGTGACATGTATCTAGATTTTCATATTTTTAACTACTAGTTGGGATCTTCCCTCAACAATTGGTTTAACATGTACAGCTATCACTCACTATACCCTCTTGGATTTTAAGGTCTGTGAAAAGACAAGACTTTGGGGGCCTACCTAAAACATTTTGGGTGGGGTTGGGCAGGCAAAAATGTAAGCAGGGAGCAATGTTCGGTAAAAATCTTCCATGAGGTCTGAAATCTACAATTCTATGGCTGATGACTGTACACTAACTGCCAACTTTAAGCAGAGTGTTTGGAGTCCAATCTGAACAGAGTCCGCCAGGGCTTTCAGAACACTTGGTATGGAAATATGCTCATTCTCATTCTGAGTGGAAGCCCTAGATTTTTTTTTATTATTATTTTTAGTTTTTGAGACAGAGTCTTGCTCTGTTACACAGGGTGGAGTGCAGTGGTGCTATCTCAGCTCACTGCAACCTCCACCTTCCGGATTCAAGTGATTCTCCTGCCTCATTCTCCTGAGTAGCTGGGATTATAGGTGCCCACCACCAGCTCTGGCTAAGTTTTTTATTATTATTATTTTTAGTAGCGACAGGGTTTTGACATGTTGGCGAGACTCGTCTTGAACCCCTGACTTCAAGTGA